ATCCAGTGATGTGTAATACTAGAGTTGAATCCAGTGGGGAAATTCATTTTTTTTTACAACTGGTTCTGTGGGCGTGGCTTGGTGGGGATGACAGGGGAAGGATGCTGCAAAATCTCCATTCCCACCCCATTCTGGGGCCAGCCAGAGGTGATATTTGCTGGTTCTCTGAACCAGTCAAATATTCCACTACTGGTTCTTGAAAACCTGTCAGAACCAGTTGCTGAATTTCACCCCTGGCTAATCCTAATCTGTATCACACATGTTATTTAACTATAGCCCAGCAACAACAGACAGCCAGTCAAACAGTCTGAAATCAGACCATAATTCAGAAATATCTGAACAAACAACATTCAAACTACTTTGCATCTCATCAAAAGGTATTTAAAGATCTGTGTTTTGACAGACAAGCAAAACTCAAAACACGCTGACAATGTCTCCTCGAATGATGATGAAACCAAATTGTCTCCTCGAATGATTTGCAACCAAATTGCCAGGCTCAGAAGTCAAACCAACAAGCTACTAATATTCAAATACATTTCACATCCTTCAGAGTGTAATTACTACTTATCTCAAAGAGTAATGGCTGCTCTTAATGCTGCAGTTAGCTTTCTAGCTTTTTGGTGTGACTGGACAGTGACCATTTCCTTCTTTCAACAAGATGCCCTGGATCTGTTTAGAACATCATCACTGCCAGTGAAGGATTCTGCTTCATTTTGACATATTTATTACCTTTAAGATCAGTTTGGATTAACCTCTTACCCTGAAAAAAGAGGAAGTGTATTGTGAGGAATGGATTTCCCATACCAACTAATTTAAAATAGTGTCTAAAATCAAGAGGGTTAGTATTTTGACCCTTCAAAAATGTGGAACCTCTAAGAGAGGTTCTAAGACAAGATTTAAAATATTTCTGACAAAGATGATTTACAGAGTGGTGACAAATGGTGGAAAAATTATAAAACAACTTCAAATGAAAGCCAGCATTTGGATATATTTAGAAGATAGTTCCCAAATATATCATTGCCATGCAATGGGTCTTAAGCATTTCCTTTGATTAGTTTGCTGCTTGCAATGCTCTGTTTTAAATCTTCTAAATTTGGCTTAGTAAAATTATTGGAAAGTATTCACTTTCTAGGCTGCTGATTGTCATTTGGAATGAACTTAAATCAGTCATGTTTTTGATGCAGTGATGATATATACTATAGGACTTATACTTGTCCCTTAGTAGGTATTAGTTGTATCTATGATTATTGTTCTTTTCTTTACCAAAGTTTTTTGTAGGAATACTATGTCCTATCTATGTTAAAAAATTATGAAATCAGAATCAATTATTAGGCCAAAGTGATGTTGCAAGACACAAGGGAAAGAAGATACTGTGGGGCTTAATGTCATTCTGACTGCTATGAGAAAGCCTCAATGGCTGGGACCTTTTCTTGGATGATCCAGAATTTCTGCTAAATATTATTATTCATGATGATCCATTTGTTGTCTAAGGTATTATATGCATAGGTAAGTAGGTTTCTGGAGGTTCTGATACATTTATCAGTAGATGACATTCTTGATCTTGCGTTAGTTGCTACAATATCAGATGGAACTATGGATTGAAGTCCTTGGATACAGGATGTGGGGATGTGATATAATGGGCTTTTTAAGTGGGGGAAGTGATGTGCCAGTGCCTGGAGGCTGTCAGGGTCTGGATGGGAGCGAATAAGCTTGCACTCAATCCAGACAAGACCGAGTGGGTATTGCTATTGCCTCCCAAGGATAGTCCAGATATTCCATCCCTTAGCCTGGGGGATGAAATTGTACACCCCTCAGAGAGGGTCCGCAACTTGGGTGTCCTCCTGGATTCGCAGCTGACGTTAGAACATCATCTGTCGGCTGTGACCAGGGGGGCTTTTGCCCAGGTTCGCCTGGTGCACCAGTTGCGGCCCTACCTGGACCGGGAGGCACTTCGAATGCTCACACATGCCCTCATCACCTCAAGGCTTTATTACTGTAATGTGCTCTACATGGGGCTGTCCCTGAAAAGTGTTCAAAGACTACAGTTGGTCCAGAATGCAGCCGCGCGAGCGATATTGGGTGTACCTAGATACACCCATGTCACACCTATCCTCCGCGAGCTGCACTGGCTTCCTATCGGTCTCCGAACGCACTTCAAGGTGCTGGTCATCACCTTTAAAGCCCTACATGGCATAGGACCTGGATATCTGCGAGACCGCCTCCTGCCACATACCTCCCAACGGCCGATAAGATCTCACAGGTTGGGCCTTCTCCGGGTGCCGTCGACTGGACAATGCCGGCTGGCGACCCCTCGGGGGAGAGCCTTCTCTGTAGCTGCTCCGACCCTGTGGAACGATCTACCCGCAGAGATCCGGACCCTTCCCACTCTCTCGGCCTTCCGAAAAGCCACGAAAACCTGGCTATTCCGGCAGACCTGGAGCTGTTGACCTCATGAATGAGGTCCGGCCCACAAAGATTGAATGTATGGTGCGTTGCTTTGAAATTTGTTTTCCCCTCTCCCTATTTTTAACTTTTTATCTTTTTAGTCTTGTTTTTGTAAGCCGCCCAGAGTCCTACGGGATTGGGCGGCATATACATTTATTAAATTACAATTACAATTACAATTAATTCTGCTTAGCTGAATTGTCAAGTAAATTAAGATGAATCAGATCATTGGATAAGAATGATAGCTTATTGAGGAGTCAATTTGGTTTTAAGTAGTTAGACTTGCATGTTTGCTGTGACATTTCATATTTTCCTGACTTTGTAGAATTGTCAATTTACAGGAGTATGAAGGTATATGGCAATTCTTAATATGGCAGCCATCAGATAGGAAGTCCAGATACACCAGCGCAATCATGGTTTAGGGATTGTTTAAGTTCATTATGTCCTTTCAATATTTCTTCCTATTCCCAGTTTGGTAGAATTGCAAAAGAAGTAATTAAGTCTGGTCCTAAGATTTCAAGAGTTAATTAAGCCTGGTTCTAAGATTACAACCCTGATTTCATGTTATTTCTGTGTTTTTTTGTAAGTTGTCTTATCAAGCACCATGATCGAGTTATTTTGTCATCATTTGACAAAATGCCCATAATAAGAGGCAGCATAAATCCAACCTGATAATTTCTGAGAAATTGACTCCTTTTCTCATCATGAAACACTTCCAATTGATGTATTTGGGAAGAGCTCTGGAAAGATTTCATTTTGGAGGACATTTAAAGGATTGCGAGGTGATCAACATAATTATTTTGTAATCTGCCATGCTTGGAAGTCATTCAATAGCATGCACATTGAGCATATGATGTTGGCACTGAAGAATATGACTAAGAGAGTGAACAACAGCTTTTCTGGTAACCAGTGTGATCAGTAAGGCAGCCTCATTTGTTTGAAGTATGCAGCTATTCCTATATGATTTTGATCCTTTGGAGGCAGGGGTGGGGGGGTTCATCATGCCACAGATTGATAATTCTCCATACTGTTACTGTTTTGAAGATGTCATCTGTAGACTGCTCCTTCCTTTGCACGAACAATTCAGATGCTATTGTTAAAAGATCCACACTTTCATGTATGGATAGAAATTCAAAAATTACTGTTTGTGCAGTCAGTAAGCATTGCCTGGCAGCAAGATTTGTGCATTTTGTGTTTCTGCTTGCCCCTCAAAGAAGAAAGATTTATTGAAGAGGTAGCAGTTATTTCAATCCCAGCAGCATAAGAAGCTAAATGGTGCAGGGAATCATGGTGCTGTGACTCCTCATGCAGAGAAAAGGAAAACTTCAGTAATTGGTGTTTCCCAAGTTGAGGATCATATCTATCTGTGGTATAGATAGAGTAAGTAGAGTAGGAGGATTTTTTTTAATCAGTTTTACTTACAGATTTCTCATTTACTTCTCCACTCCAGCTGTCTTAGAGTCTTTCAATAATAAACGTGTGTCAATTTTTATCTGCTTGGCTGATGTAGGTATTGGTTGGAGTCCAAGACAGATACCATAATTATTTTTCCTTTTGTCAATATTATGCAAACTAATGATAGGACTTTCTCCTTCTTCTTTAGCTTCCTTCTTGGTTTTCTTAAAATCCTTAAATTCTTTGGAAAATTTAAAACTTTTATAGGTGTTAAGTATTAAATGTTTTAAAGAGGCAATTATACTATCCATTTGATTTAATGGTTAACGTCCCAGGCCAGAAACCAAGAGATTGTGAATTCTAATTCTGACTGAAATATAAAAGCCAGTGAGTGACTTTGGGCTAGTTACTCTAAGCTTAACTCATCTAGTTGTGGGAAAATAAGAAAAAGGACGAAAATTAGATATGTCGCTATCTTGCGTTATGTATAAAAATAATAAAGGCGGAATAAAAGAAATCTTTAAAAAAGGAACAAGAGGCAGTGAGCAAATAAACTTTCATGTTAACTGAATATCACCTTGCTGCTCTCTTCTCCGTTCCCCTCTCCCCATTTTTTTTTTTTTTTTGCTTGATATGCACACGTTCTTATTGCCAGCCTCCTTTATTTGATTCTCCTAGAGTTTTGGTTATTGAACTATATTTATTCTTTCTACACTACTCATAATTATAAAGAATGAGAAAGGTGGATCTATACATTTTAAATAAATACATTATTTAGTTTTGACTTCAGGGAACAACTTCTACAACAATCAATATTTGCCAGTTAAAAATTGAAGTCAAATTTGGGTCCTTTATGTTACAATTTTCCTGCTTATCTAGAACACAAGATTTACAAAGCTGTTGAATTGTAAATTGTACTATCTATCCATCCATTTGATGTCTAACATACTTGCACATTAATCTCAATTTGGAATATGCTTTCTGCTACCTGCTGTATGTAACAGTCTGTGGTTTTCTAGAAAAAGATTTTTTTTGTGGCTATCTCAGAACTAATCTTTTATACAAATATTATGCTCTGGGCATGATTTAAATATAGTTAAATGTTGCATTAATAACTAGGTTTAATGAATTTTAACTTATTTATTTTGATTTCATTTTAGTTTTAAAAGCCCAACAGCAATCTGCTATGGAACGGATGTGTACTCCATTGGAATGTCTACTTCCCACTGGTATAGTACCTACTCCTTACTTATTTAGTTATTCATGTATATATACATATTCTGTGTATAGTATTTTAGAATTTAGTGTAATGTTTTGATTGCTAGTGGTATGATTTTACACTATTTTAAAACAAGATAATGCATCACTGAGTCATACTTTAGTAGAGTAAGGTAGAGTAGAGTAGAGTATGGCTACAAACTATATCGTGATCATTTCAGAAGGATAAATAGGCACTAAATTTTAACTTGGAAAATCTACATTTGTCTTAATGATGTATAAGCAAGAATGCTACCATTGTACCAACTGCTGCATTTCTTCCCAACTCTCCTTGCTGGGCTGCTTGACTCATACTTTGGGTGAGAGTAAGAGACTACCGACAGCCTGCTTCCCCTCCTTTCTCATGCTGCACCAAAGAGAGTTGCCTTCTTGCACTTTTATGTCTGGCCAGACTGAGGCAATTTCAGCATCTTGACACTCCTCTAATTGCCCTGCTCCACCCCTCTCAAAGCAAGTGACAGCCGCATAGGCAAAACTACTAAACAGGTGACCAAGCTAAGTGCCAAAAGAAATGCTGACTTGAAATTGGGTCTGCTTCAGCCTCCTAACTTGGGTCTTTGGGCGAAGGCTGGAGGGAAGTGCCTCTGGTGGTGAAGAGCCGAAGGGCTTAATTCCAGTGGGACTGCATAATGGCTTTGAACTGGCTGAGCATCTCATCCCCGCTAGGCCTCCAGGCGCCAGGACCTGGCCGTGCATTCCTGCAGGTCATCCCTTTGCTTGGAAAGTCTATGCTTATAATCATCAGTGAGGTGTTTGTGCTGAGCCTCCTTTTCGGCTAGATCCAATTTGAATTGTGCCAGATGTTTGCCAAATCTTTCTCGTGATGGCTGCTTAGCTCCAACAACTGCTTTCTGTTGGGACCCTAAGAAGACTGGGCGGTGAGATGAGGAGTGGCTGGAGGAGAGGGGCAAGGAGAGACTGGGCGAGGCAAGATACCCCTCAACATGAGTGACGTCGAGTTGCCCACACCCACCCAGTTACATGCCCATCCAGCCATGCCCACCCAGCTGGTGATTACGGCAGAGAATCGGTTGTTAAAATTATTTGAAACCCACCACTGCATTCATCCATTGTGGAAATTAAGTAGACCTTCAAAGGATGGAACAGTGAGTCAATCTTGAGCCAATGAGAATCGAACTACTGAACAGCTGGCAGTCAGCAGAATTAGCCTGCAATACTGCATTGTATCCACTGTGCCAATAGCAGCTTATTTTCAGTTGCTTCTAGACTATGCTGTGACTCTAAAATTGAAGAATTACTTTGTGACTAAGCATAGGAAGTCCATTGAAATGATTGAATGATTCAGTCTATCAAAATTAAAGCTTTTATTTAAAACTCTTTTTATATAATTTTTTAATTAGTTTTATTACAAACAAACAAACAAACACACACACACAAACATCATCTGTCATTACATCTTGTAGAAAGCGTATCCATTGGTCACAAATACATTTCGTGCGTTCTGTCCACAATCACATATATTCCATTCAGTCTAAATTGTACATGTTAAAAATTTACATATTTTACATACCACAATTTCATTTAGTTAAGATTTCAAAAACACAGCCACCTGCTGGCATTTTTTCCCTTCCCCCAGTTGCAGTCAATATGCCATATCTCTATATACTTATAACATATATAAAAAATAAAATAAAAAAGTCAATTAGTAGGACATCTTATATTTCCTTTCTCTAACATATCTTTGTTATTATTATAGTTAACTAAGGGTTATTTACATTTTTCTCTTCTCTTCTCTCCACAAATGCAAAAGCAACAATCTCTAAACAACAATCTATTAATATGTGTTAATGAAATGACCATTTAAAATCTAAGACAATCTAAAGAAAAAAGAAAAAAATATTGACATTTCTAATTAATAATCACCAAAATATATGTTAACCTTCCCTTTTGTTTTTATAGTTGAAATACGGGGGGGGGGGACCAATTGTTTGCCATTTCCACTCCAAATTAAAATTTCTAATTGAAAATCTCCAAGATGTGCATTAACATTCCCTTTTATTATTGTAATTAGAGAAAGACAGAGAAGGAAAGAAAAAAAACCAGTTGTTTGCTATTTACGTCACATCACCTCTTATTCTAATCCAAATTATTTATAGCTTCATAACAAGGTCTAAAGCACAAATTTATAGGTTTTATCATTCCACCAGATCTCCGTTGCAATTTGTGGCCTGGTTATTTATCCTAATTAAGGTTATCCTTTCATTGTTAATATCATGATATATTACATGTTAGCGACTAAACATTCAATAATAATCTATAAGAGTCTACAAAATACTAAAATCCCTACTTATTAACCATCAAAAATTAACTAATTTTTATCATCAATTGGCATAATCAACCAGTGTCCTTCCAGTAGCAAAATAAATCTTTCTCGCCAGCAGCTGTGTCATCTCTCTTATTAGAATCTTTTCAGAATTTATCATTTCTCGCCGCACTCTGTAGCTTGAAGGATTTCTCATGTAATTTCGTCGCTCTTTAATTGTTATTAATGTAGGCTTAATTTTGATTATCAAACTGGTTTATGGATATATGTGTCTTCTTAGTTCCATCTTTTTCACTCTTTTTTTCCCTCCTGCATCTTGAAGTTGAAAGAAAGGCTCCAAGTTGTCAAAAACACTTTTCCAGCTTTCCTTCTTTTCACTTTCGCTTGTATTTAGTCCATTGATAGATTCATCTGACATCTTATCTTTATTTTCTATATTTTTATTATTATCTTTTTATTTTCTATATTTCCATTTTCTTCTTTAATCTCTGGGGCTCCAACCCCCTCCTATTTAACTGTAGCACCCCATAAACTGTCCCATTTCTTGTCAAATCTCTTAAGTCCTTCTGCAATACTTTGAAGTCCAGCCAGGATGTTTTGGATTATTACATTTTCTGTCTGAATTTTGATCCATTTTTCAGAATGCAAAGAAATATAAAGGAAAAGAAATAGGAAGAGGAATCTGCCACTCTAGCCTGTCAAAATTTTAGGAAATGTGTCTGTATTTATTTTGAATCTTAAACACCAGTTCTTTCAAGGTTTTTTTTTTAAAAATAGGAGGGTTTTTATTCTTGCTTGTCTTTTTCCTTCTCTTGCCAAAATATTGCTTTTATTTAAAACTTTTAATTGCACTAATTTTTCTTCAGAATGGTTAGATTTCTTTTTTCCATTAAGTTCAATTGGAGTTAAATGAGTAGATACTTTGAGCTGACGATTCTAGTGTTTCAACTGAAAATCATTTAAAACAATTTGTTTTATTTTCCAAGTTGTTGGTCTATTGCTGCTATTTTATTTTGTAGAAGTGATAACACAATTATCTGTGTTTAATTCAGTTTAACACAAATTATTCAACTTCCTATGTTTTAGGTAACTGGAATATTTACAGTATTCATTGACCTCCCCTCCCCTTCCCATGTTTCTCTCACAAACATATAATTTACTGCATTTGACACAATAAGATGACACTGCATTTAAGGAGGTCCCCATCCTCAAAGAATCAAAGAAAGGTCATAAAAAATAAACTTAAAAATCTTGAACATTGCATGGCTGGTCTATCTTGTCAATTAAAGTTAATTCTTTAAAAAAAGAGCCTAGAGATCGTTTATTCTCTAACGAATGTGGCATGTGACAGTTTTGTGAATATGCATTTACATATAAGCGCTGGCCATAATCCAAAATGGTGTGTTCAATGCTAGAACTTAAATGAATATTAGCATATTTCATAGCTTTTTGATTAAAATTAACATCACTCCATTTTTGAAATTATCCACCATATAAAATAGAGAAGAAAAAACTAAGCTCCTTTTCCTGTACGCTGCTTGGAGATCCAAGCATGGGTTAAATTCTGCCTGACTGCCCTGGACTGAATTGAAAGCTCTTTAGCCACGCCTCCTCTTCCGGCTCCTCAGATTTTTTTCAGTTCAGCCCAGCCCAAGGACATGTTTTAAGTGGTTCCAGACTATCAACAGATATTTAACCTTAACTTGGATTTTCCAACCAAATTCTTCTTCATCCTGAAAAGAAATAAGCCTTTCAGTTCTTGTATTTGAGTCTATTGCTGCTATTTGCTACCGGCGCTTGTTCCGGGCTTCTCTGGGTGCGCATGATCCCTTTAAATTGCTGGGCGATGCGAGCCGGCTTGGGAGCCACCATGATCGCCCTTTATCTTCGCACAGCAGTCAGCGGTGAGAGGGCCCAGCTGCTTGCGATATACTTGAACATTTGGCAGTGGTGCGAGGACCCAGCCGTTCACGCCATCACTTTGTAGATTTGAATTTTGGCACCATTTTTCCAGCAGTTAGTCATTGCAGTGGCCATTTTGATTAAGGGAAAAACTTCTGGCAGCCATTTGGTTTGCAGTTTTGCCATGTTTTTCCTTTCCATTAGTGAGTCAACATTGGAGAGTGATGGCAGCGCAACTTGTTCTGTCCAGCAATCCGGCGGTCAGTCGCTCCCCACCCCACTGATTGTTAATTGATCAATAACAGCGAGGTGTTGGTCCTTGCCTTAGACCTCCCTTTAGCTGTTAACCCTGCAGGCGCTGGAAGGTTGGATCTCGCCCCAGAGGTTTCCTTGTGGCAGCACCAGCTTAATTACTCATTTTAGCCATCAATCTTTACGACTCTGAATCAGCAGCTGCAGCTACCCTCACATCCCCAACTGTGTTCCAGGTGGTGAGTGGTGCCCAGATTACCCTTACTCACAGCATAATGGCAGATAACACTAATCAAGAGGCAATGCAGCCAGGGCCCTCTAGCAGCAGGAGCCTTACCAGACAGGCTAGCAAAGCAGCTTCAGAGCTGCTCAGCAGACAGAGCCAGGTTGGGGAAAAGAAAGGAACAAAGCCTCAAGACCAAGTTGCCCCCAGGTGCCAAAAAAGCACCAGAGAAACAATCTGAACAAGCCCAGCAACAACCGGTGGCTAGTTCTCCAATTCCTGCAGTAGAA